GATTGGGCAAGGGGGTTATGTGCCTCCCCCAGCAACACTGCGGATGAGACGTGAATCCCAATCATTAGACATGTGGAAAGAGCATGAAATAAGCCAAAGTTGCAGCTCTATTTGTTCTAAAATGATGGAAAAATGGCCACCTTTTCATCAAGTAAGAAAAGAAGAAAAAAAACCCAGAGAGGGCACTGAAGGAGGTTAGGTGAGAGCCACCAATATCTCAGGCTCAGAGCCCCAAAGTGCCCAAATGCTTCAGACCGTGGACAGCGGCACATGCTCCTGCCTCCCAGTGCCACCCACGCAGCCCCAGACTTCTTGGCCTCCAATGGCTCCCAAGCCCCTCTTCTCCCCTATTCCTCCTTCATCCAGTCATCCCTCTTCCAGGTCCTTTGGTGAGGATTGCCCCTGGAGGCAGGTGTCATACACTGTCCCACATGCTCACAGACTTCTCCTTGGCACCTCAGAGCCTGAGACCCTGACAGTGGCTCTTCTCGGGTGGAGGAGGAGAATACAGAAGCAGCCTTCACCTTACCTGAAACGATGGTGTAGCCAATCCCCCGGGGACGTCCTTTATCCTGGTCGATGGCAGTGATAATGTGCACCGTTGTACCCTGGATAGAAGAGAGGAGGGCTTCAGTGGGGTGCCGGGGCCCTCGTGCTGCTGTCTTTCTTTGGAGTTGTCCTGGCACCCACAGCTTCCTTCCCCAGGCTGACTCCCAGCTGCAAGGACAGCCGAGGAAGTAGGTGCCACGTGTTCAGGCCTCAGCTGCTCCCATTGTCTCTGGGACACACGTTGAAGCCCCCCGGCAAACACCTCAGGGTCCTGTGGGGAGTCCCAACCTTACTGACATTATCATTCCCCCTTCCCCTCCCCATATGCCTTGTTTGGATGAACCACTCATGGGAGAAGAACAGATGAGGAGCAGCCAGCGGAGAGACTAGAGTCTGTATCAACCACCCTTCAAATTGCTGTGTGACCTCAGGAAGGTTGCTGCACCTCTCTGGCCTCAGTTTGCCCCACCTTAATGTGAATAACAGTAAAAACCCTGGGACCTTCTTTTCACTGGGGTCTGAGTAAAGGAGAATATCATCGATCAATTACTCTATAGATGAAGCATCATCAA